TATACGTGGAACAAGACATTGAAATAAAACCTTCTGCCAAGTTGTCTGACAAGAAAGGTTGCAATGGAATTTCTATGTCGGATACCAATATGCTCCAGAAGTTTTCATGGGATATAAGATATATTCTAACTCTGACTTAGTTCAAACAGTAACATGGGCAACTATGAATGGTTCGCTTTGAGAAACTCAGTACAACCACAAGCTAGAGAACAAACAGACCAGTATGCAACTATTGAGAAAATAAGAAGACTTGACCCTAACGTTCCAGGAGTTTATGTTAACCTTTCTGGACAAAATGCAGCAGCAGTAACCAAAAGTAAATTGAAACTTAGAGTTCCTTTGTCATCTTTCCTCATCTTCAGGTTTTTAAGATACTTGCCAAACTGGGCAGGAAAAATTTCTATCGAACTTACTCCAAGCAAAAATAACTTAGTCATTGCACCAACACAAGACCCATTCACTCTTACAGAAGTAGTGGGAACAAATAAAATGTCATTCGCCGACTTTTGCAAAAACAAAGTTGACTTAGACTTTGGTTTCTCAAACCTCAACACTGAAGTAAACTATTATTTCAATGCTGCTGGAGATGCTTGGGACCCAGTTAAGTTCACATGCGAAAAATTTGAATGCAAGAGAATAGAAAGCAGACTTGCAGTCTATATGTTGGACCCAGATATTTCAAATGCTTTAGCTGCCAAATATATTGCAGTTCCACTTATGTTCCCTATACACCAAATATCTGTCAAAGACTTTGCAGGTGAAGTTGGAAACCAAAATCCAGGAACCGCAGGTGCAAGAACAGATATTGCCTTAACAACTGCAATGAAACATGCAGATACTATGTTTGTACTGTTCAGACGAACTATAAATGACTATTCTTGCTTCTACAACCCTGGTATTAAATACCATATAAACATAGATGGCAAATACTATCCAAGAGAAGAATATTCTACAGTTGAGGATATGAGGTCATACAACTTGACATTAGATGCTATGAACTTTAACAACAACTTCACAACAACCATTAACCCTGAAATGCAAAGTTCTATTATGCCATATGTGAAAGTATGGACTCATACAGGAGCTCAAAAAACTCAATATACAAATGGAGACCGTTCAAACTTTTGGCTTGGCATTCCATTTGCTGACTCAGAAGACTTTATGGGTGGTATTTCAACTGTTGGTACAGTTCAAATACAATATACTGGTGACAGAGACGGTCCAGATGAATTGAAAGCAAAGAAGTTTACAAAACCAATAGCACTTTTCACGGAAGATGCTCTTTTGAAAATTCGTTCGATGAAACCTGCTGGGGCTCCTCAGATTGGTATAACGACAGCTTCCATCGAGCAGATTTTGGCAGCAGGTCAGTAAGTTGTTCTTGAACTGACTTCTCTCCGTCAAATATTGACAGTACGCCAGTTTTGATATAATATTGTATTATAAACTTTCCTTTAGAAATATCGGTCAGTTTTGTTGTTATATTTTTGTCAACGTCAAGAACTTTCACCATTTCAGTTATACCAACTTTCTTTGCTTTATGAAAATATTTTGGTTCAGCAAATATTGCTATTCTTAACATTTTCCATTGTTTGTATAAAGAACTATTCTGTCAATGAACTTGTACTGTTTGTGTGTGTAAACTTTTTTTGCTTCAATTCAAAGAGATACTCAAATACGTCCATCTTTTTATTCTTAGTAAATGTCATTTCCGAAAAATAGAAGCGTAAGTGTTTCAAAAGGTTTAATGGCGGTGGCAGATGTGAAGTTAAATTCACCAACTCAAACAAACAGTCAAAGTGTTGTTGTCAATGTCAAAGAAAGAGATGTTGAAGTGGGGAAACCATACGAAGACGAAGATGGTATAACAATAGTTCCTGTAAAAGAACCAACATACCCTGAAGTTAGCAGAGACTTAAGTTCTGTTGCAGATATTCGAAATGACTACCAACAACTTAAAGACAAACTTAAAACTCAGGAGAAGATTTGTCAAGCTTTGGGTATAATGTTAAACTTGGTCGAACACAACCCTGTAAAAGTGAACTCATATGTCATCGCACCTCATGAAATTTTGAAAGAACTATTGAAACTTTTGACAGAGGCAGACGATATAAACATCAAAGAAATAGAACCGACATTGCTTGCTGTGGTGTTTCATATAATGTCATTGACAAGATATACGTTATGAAAGGAGGTGAAACGTTGAACTTAAAATATAGTTTCCCAGACGTCATAAAAATATTTGACGACCACAACATTCATTAAAATTTACTTGCTAAGTAAATGGCAGAAGACATAGTGGTTTATACTATTACGACTAAAAACCCTGAGTCATATAATTCTATAACAACAAACTTACAAAGTCCTCAAGGACGATATTGTAAACTGACCTTAAACACGATGACGACTAAAGCCTGTTTTGCTCTTTTGACACCAGAAGACTTTGTTGTTGTGAATGGTAAAAAATACTTCTTTGAAGATACTTACTCAGATATACCACCAACAGGTTTTGTTGACTTATTTAATACTTTAAGGACGGATGTAACATGTGCTGCAACTAGAGCAGGTTTCATTATGTTTGGATGTCCGACTGAGTTTAGTATAAACGATATGAGCTATAATACAAAACTTATATCTGGTTTTTACTACCAACAGTTTCCTATAACAGGAAAAGGTGTCATACAAGGTTGTCTGTTCCATTGACTTTAAGTACACCTATTTTATATATTGTTTCAAACTTAGGTTCAAAGTGCTATTCGAATGTCGACAGAAACTACTATGACCAAAAGATACTCATGCGTATAAACAACACTTTCTCTGCTGGTTTGCCTATTGTTCATTCGAATGCAGAATTTTCAGCTTTAGTAAACTCAAACACTTTGGCAAACATAAACTTAACCTTAGTTGACGCAAACTTTGTTCCTGTAAAACTTTTATGTCCTATGTATTTGTCAATGACGGCAGAAAGTTTCGAATTGGAAGATGCAACTGGTGAAAGTATTGTATTACAAGAACAACTTCAACAACAAATAGCTCAAGAACAACAAATGCAACAAATGCAACAACAAAGTCAAGAATAAAAAAAATATTTTTTTTATTTTTATAAAAATGTACAGAATAGACGTTTCAGATTTTTATGACTTCCAAGCGTTCAGAAATATGTGTCCATTTAGAGACTATACAAAGCAGTCGAGAATTTGAAACGTTTAGTCATTTATGTTGACTCTGCCCCAGAATGTTATGTTATGAAAGAATGGGATGTTGTCTTTAACAAACCAAGAGCAACCATAGTTTTCAGAAAAATGTAGACAGAAACTTAAGAAAATAAAAGTCGTGCAAGTTGGAATGAAGATGTTAGATGCTTGGGATATCTTATTGTCCAAGTTAGAAGATTTTTCAGTTCGTGGTATAAAGTTCTATACACCATCTCCAAACTTCTATTCTATCTTCACTGGATATAAATACGAACAAGTAGAATGGAAAGAAAATGTTATAGAAGCTTGGTTAGACCATGTCAAAGAAATTATATGCAATGGAAACGAAAGAGTCTATGAGTATATCTTATGTTGGTTTGCAAACATCTACAACATCCAAGTGCTAAAAATGAAACTGCTCTCATTATAATTGGAAAACAAGGAACTGGTAAGAACACTTTCTTTACAGATATCTTATGCAAACTGTTAGAGGGCTATTCGAACCCTAATATGACAAACTTAGAAAACATCTGCGGTAAATTTAACTCTTCAATAGAGAATATGAAACTTATAGTATGTAACGAACTTCAAAGTATAGATACAACAAAAAAAGTTTTGAACTCAGATGCTTTGAAGAGTCTTATAACAGACAAAGTTGGAGTTGTTGAAAGAAAGTATAAAGACCAAAGAGTTTGTGAAAATGTTGCAAACTTCATTATGGTTTCAAACAATGTTGTTCCGATGAAGTTAGAAAGTTCTGACAGAAGATATGTAGTTGTCAGAACGTCAGATTCTCATATGCAAGATACAGAATATTTTGACGACTTAGCAGAAACTTTGACACCTAACTTTTACAACCACTTGTTCTCATATTTCATGACATTAGATATTTCTAACTTCAATCCAAGACAAATTCCATATACCGAAGAGAGACAAACATTGTTAGAAGCAAACAAGAGTGTATATGAACTGTTTATAGATGAGACTAACTTTGTGTCATTAGATGAAAGGTCATTGTACGATGAATATAAACAGTATTGTCAAGAATATGGTTATATGACAGCGTCTAAACGAACATTCTTGGCAAATGTCAAAAATCTTTTAGATGTTCAGAACGGCGTATATACAAAGAAAAATTTTTATGAGTAAATTTAAAAAAAATATTTTTTTATCCGATAGAAAAGATGACGAAATATATTTCAGTCAACAAATATATGTCAGGACTTAAAGAAGAACTAGACCCATTCGCTTATTTGAATGTTTACTTCTACCATTTGAAAAGTCTACATTTGACAAAGTTTGGAACATCGAACCTGTTAAGTTTGCTATTGTGACTAAAAATGGTGCGAAATTTGAAGACTTAGACATAGAAGGTTTGTTAGCAGTCAAAGAAAATTTTGACAGAAGGTTCTCAAACCTTAAAGAAGGCAAAGCATACAAACTTGTTATACCTTATGAACCAAAGAAAGCAGACGACTATGAATATTATGAGTCTAAGATAGTTGAAGTTCAAGGTAAATTAGGTAAAAAGATTTTAGAGTCTAAGCCAGTGTTTGCCCCTAAAGAGGAAGAGAACATTGACATTGACCCAGAAATGTTCTAAAAATAAAATTTTATTTTTACATGTCAAATTTCTTTTTCTCTGGAACTGGTTCAGGTTCTTTCTTCTCTTCTTCTACTTTCTTTTCTTTCTTCTCTCTCTTCTTCTTCTTTTCTGGTGGAGTTATGTCAAATTTCTCAGAACCATATTTATGTAAAAGTTCTTTGTCCTTTAATAGCTCTTCTATTCTGTTTCCTATTTCATCTTCAAGAACAGCGCATGTGTCTTCTTTGCATTCTAAGAACTTTTGTTGGACTTCATCTTTCCAATCGGTGTCATCTCTGTCAACAAGTCTGTCATTGACAAATTTTAAGACTGCTCTTTGTAATGTTTTATGGTTCTTGTCATATTCCCAGAAACAGAACTTTAGAACAAATTCACCTTTCTTGTTTACACTATGTAAGATTTTATGGTCGACAGATGTTTTGCTGTCAAAAAGTTTGTCTCGAATATAGATAGCGAAATCGCTAGACATTTTCTAAAAAGATAAAATTTTTAATTTTTCTAAAAATATGTTAGAAAAAAAGTTTGCTGACATTGACAAGAAATTTGAGAATGTTTTAAATAAGAACAAGAGGAAGTTGGAAAATGCTCAGATAAAACCCATACATGACAAGTTCTTATTTGCTCAGAATGGTATAACAGGTCTAATTGCACCACCTGGGTCGGGTAAGACTTTCACTTATCTTAAAATGGCTGCACAACAACAAGAACTAGATGAGAAGAACCCATTCTATGAGTTAGTAGTCATTTGTAGTACTTCGGGTCAATTTGACCAAACCGTCAATTCGTTCAAAGATATTATAAAGAAGTCTAAGTTAGTATGTATAAAAGACTCTGAGTTGTTAGATTGGATAAAGAAGTACCAAAGAAGAGTTTTGAAGTACAATGCTATAAATGAGTATATAAATTCGAAGTTTAAAGACCCAAATGAGGAAATGCAGAGAATATTAGAGAAGAAACACTTCAGAAACAAACAGAAAGAGATAGAATACATTTCGAAGAAATTGCAATCGTACGATTGGAAGACTTACCCTCATAGATGTCTTCTTATCTTAGATGACTTTGCTTCTCATCCTTTGTTAAAGAACAGAGAACAAGACATGTGTCGAATTCTTAAGAAGCTCAGACACTTTAACATTTCAGTTGTCATTTGTGTACAGACAGCCAAGAGTTTAAGTAAGGATGTAAAGAGAATACTTACTGACATTGTACTTTTCCCTGGATTGTCCGAAGACGATTTCATGGAACTTATGAAAGAGTCCATGGCAGGTAAGTTTGACAGACATGAACTATGGGAGAAGTACAAAGTCATACAAGACCCTCATACTTCTTTCAGAATTCACATCTACGCGAACAAAGTTCAAATTGTAAAAAGTCAATAAAAATAAAGAGTTTAGTCTTAGTAAGTCTGTTGTGGTGCTGGGGCTGTCGGTTCTTCTGGCTGTGGAATGGACTCGGTTGGTGGTACGTCGGACATTCGTTTGTGTCTTAACCGTCTTTGTTCTGAAAAAGTACAATATTGTCTTGAAAAAGTACAATATTGTCTTGAAAAAGTACAACATTGTCTTGAAAAAGTACAACATTGTCTTGAAAAAGTACAACATTGTCTTGAAAAAGTACAACATTGTTCTGAAAAAGTACAACATTGTCTTGAAAAAGTTCAAGACTTGTTCTGAAAAAGTACAGCTGTACTCAAATTTGAGAGACATTGTACTGAATTTATACAACATTGTACTGAATAAGTACAATATTGTCTTGAAAAAGTACAACATTGTCTTGAAAAAGTACAACATTGTCTTGAAAAAGTACAACATTGTTCTGAAAAAGTACAAGACTTGTTCTGAAAAAGTACAAGACTTGTTCTGAAAAAGTACAGCTGTACTCAAATTTGAGAGACATTGTACTGAATTTATACAACATTGTTCTGAAAAAGTACAACATTGTTCTGAAAAAGTACAATATTGTCTTGAAAAAGTACAACATTGTCTTGAAAAAGTACAACATTGTCTTGAAAAAGTACAATATTGTACTGACTCAGTATGGAGCTTGACCCCCTAGACGAAGCAATTTATCTAATTGAAATTAACGAGCTTGTTAAAGACTTCCTCAGGCAGAATGTAAAGGTCAAGCTTGAAAAATAAATGGTTCATCTACTCTACTTGTTTGAAGTTGTCAAAATACTCTGTTATTTTTTCCTTCAGTAGCGGCAAATCTTCTTTGAAGGTAAGTATTGTACAACCTTTCATATCATAGTGTGTTTGAGGTAACGTATCTTGAACTATCTGTTTAACATCTTCATTTGGTGTCATTGAAATCGGTAAGTTTTCGCGATAGAACCAATTTCTGTCAGATTTGTAAATCTTAGCAAGGTCGTAAAAGCTTTTGTTGTTTCTTCTGACTAAATGCAACATAACCATATCTCTGTCTTCTTCATTTTCCATCTCTTCAGTGTAAATCATATACTTATAGTTCTTTTCCTTTCCTTTTGGTACCGAACGTGGTATTCTTTTCTGAAGGCTTTTGTCTTTTGCTTCAAGCTTGTTCTCTAGCTCTTCACGTTCTTGTCTATGAATTTCATCTAACATCATGAAAATATAACAAGCGTAACGAGGCGAAGCCCACATTGCAACAGCATTTACAAGAAGTCTATGAACATAATATCCTTTCAAACTATTTGGCAAATTTTTACGATTTTCGTACGGAATCTCGTTCCGCGGTTTTCTACCACTCGCAAACATATGAGGAAATTCTTCTAAAAGTTCTTTTGTCTGTTGGTTTTCAAACCAATGACGTGCTTGCTTTGTAGAACGAAGAGTATTCAAAATACTTTGCATTTGGTACATATCGTCTTTGACCGAACGAATGAGACGTAACTGTTTGTTATATTGTATGTACTCATATTCTTCATTTATAGCTTCATGGACTATAACTGTTGTTGTGTTCTCTGTTGTTGACATATCTGTCTTTACATACAAAATAAAAAAATAAAAAAAATAAAATTAACTTTATTTTTTCTATCTTGTATAAAAGACCAAAAATAAACGCTTTACATGTATTTTTCAGCAACTTCGTCAAGAAGTCTGTAAATATACCATGCATAACGAGGTGAAGCCCACATTGCTATTGAACTAACTAGGAACTTATGAACATATATACCTTTTAGATACGATGGTAAGTTTTGTCTGTCTTGGTACATCTTTTTAAGTTCTACATGTTCAAACTCACTGAGGAGTTCATGAGTGCTATTTAATTCAAACCAGTCTTGTGGTTTCTTAGTATCTGGTGTAGCACATGCTGTCAAAATACTTTGCATTTGGTACATGTCATCTTTGACCGAACGAATGAGACGGAGTTGTTTGTTAAACTGTATGTACTCGTATTCTTCATCTATGGCTTCATGGACTATAACTGTTGTTGTGTTCTCTGTTGTTGTCATATCTGTCCTTACATACAAAATAAAAAAATAAATAAAAATAAAATTAGCGTTATTTTTTCTATCTTAAGGAAATTCATGAAATTTGGTCATTTTTCAGCAAAAATATATTTTAGGGTAGAAGGTTAGATATAACCTGTTTTCTAACCTCTTTTCTACCCTCGTGAATTTTCATGAATTTTCATGATTTCATCGTAAATGTTTTGTCAAGACTTCTTCATATATGTTTTGTCAAGACTTCTTCATATATGTTTTGTCGAAACTTCTTCATATATGTTTTGTCGAAACTTCTTCTTCGTAATGAGCGTAAATGACCAAAAAATATATTTTAGGGTAGATGGTTAGATATAACCTGTTTTCTAACCTCTTTTCTACCCCAGTTATTTTATAAGCGTTTTACATGGTAAACGTTATTTTTACATGTATTTTTCAGCAACTTCGTCAAATAATTTTATAGCTTTATCTATCTCATCTACTTCAAACGTTTCTTTACCTTTTATGGGAGCACCATACATTTTCTCAAACTTTTCAAGTAGTTCTGTTTCTGCAGCTCTCATATCGTTAACCAACACAACCTTGACTCTATTGACTGTACTGTCATATCTTTGAGTTATATTAAATGTTCTTCCTATCTTATATCTCTTTGTATTGAAGTCCTTCGGTTTCTGAACGATGTAAAGTAAGCCTTCACTGCAACGTTCTGAGTCGAACGAACCATATGTTATGAAATTATATCCAACAACTGGGTCTAACCATAACAAAACTATTGGTATAAGACTTTTGTCGATGAGATATGCTGTAGTTCCATAGAATCTTACCGATATCATAAGCTCAGGATTTCTTGTCAAAATTTTCTGAGTAGAAGCAATTCTAACCCAGTCCTTTGCTTTCTTTCCAGATGGAGATAAAATGTCTGACAAAGATATTTGTTGTATTTCTTTGAGTATCTTACGTTTAAATCACCTATTCTAACCACTTTGGTGTCATTGTCTATCTTTCCAACTGTTTCAAACTCATTGTTTGTCATTTCTTTCTTTAAATCTGCATAGTCGTTTCTCATTCTTTCTATCTCTTTGACGGAGTAGTTATATTTCCTCATTGCTGCTTTACATTTTGAACATTGTGGGTTCATTTTAGCATTGTACATTGAAATCTTACCTGCTAGTATGACTAAGGCGTCAATGGTTTTCTTTAACTCAAAAGTTGCGGGTTTTATCTGTTCATTCCATACTTTACCTCTTCTATCTTTATCTCTTATCTGCCATACACATTTTGCAACTAACGAAACAAAGTTGTCGTAGGTCTTAAATTCTTCGGATTTGTAAAGGTCAATGTCCATGACTTTGTGGTTGCAATGAAATCCAAGGAATTCATAGTTTACCTTTCGTATGAACTTCTTTATTCTACTGAGTCCAGTCAGTCTGACTTCTATTTCGTCAAATTCGGGAATGGTTAGTTTTTGTTGTTGTATTTCAGGAAGTTTAGGTAGATGGTCAATAATATCCTGCATTTCATAAAGATACTGTTCATTTGTTTCATCTTTCGCACTACAGTCTAAATTACTTGTTAAAAGTTCTTGCTTTATCTTCTGGATTTTTGTTTCGAAAGTATATGAAGAAGGAATGAAGCTTTTCATCTCTACTAACATTGAAGTTGGGTTCATGACTAAAGAGTTTGGTGCTGTTGTTGTTTGAATTGTTGTTGTGCCGATTGTTGACATTTTTATTTTTTTATACAAAATAAATAAAATAAAGTTAGTTAAAGTTAGTTTTATTTTTTATTTCGGGAAAATTCATGAAAATTCAAGAGGGTAGAAAAGAGGGTAGAAAAGAGGGTAGAGCTACCCTTCTACCCTAAAATATATTTTTGGGTCCTTTACACTCATTACGATGAAGAAGTCTTGACAAAACATTTACGTTCATGTTTGACAAAACATTTATGAAGAAGTCTTGACAAAACATTTACGATGAAATTCATGAAAATTCAAGAGGGTAGAAAAGAGGTTAGAAAACAGGTTATATCTAACCTTCTACCCTAAAATATATTTTTGGTGTAAATTTCAATAAAAATAAATGGTTCATTTACTCACAATATTTTTGTACAAAACAACCCCAAGCTTTTAACTTCTTTCTGCAGCTTCTAATGCTATCTTAGCGAGTTCATATTCTCTAAATTCTCTCTTTAAATCTTCTTGTTCCCATTGGTCTAGTTCGTATGGAGAGTCTCTATAACCAGAACATATCTCACGTTCATGTTCTATTTGTTTTTCATGCATTTTTCTAACTTCTTCTTCGAACAAAGGTTTAGCATTTTCTACTGTATCTTCGAGTTCTTCTTCTTCATCTAACTTCTCATGAACTTTCTTGTCTATGGAGTCCAGAATTTTTCCAACTGCTATGCAATATTTTGGTGAAGCCCACATTGCTATATAGTTTACAAGTCTTGGGTCTACATACATTCCTCTAACCTGTTTGATTTCATCCGGAATTCCTGCATGAACTTTGTATAAAAAGCAACCGTCGGAATTCCGGCGGTTGGTATATTCTTCACAAAATGCCGTATAATACTCTTCCCAGGACTTATTTTCCAACAACTTTCTAAAGTCTTTCCTAAACTGCTGACACATATTTGTTACATTTATATAACCATCCTTGTCTCTACGTAAGACTTCAATACCGTTGTAAGTGCCTTTTGTGAATGTTTCGCCATTAGATTTGTTCGTGAACGTTTTTGCTTCGACTGTCATACTGTTCTTACAATAAAAATAAAAAAAATATTTTTTGGTGGGACGTCGGACATTGTCTTGAAACAGTGCAAATATTGTCTTGAAACAGTACAAATATTGTCTTGAAACAGTACAAATATTGTCTTGAAACAGTACAAATATTGTCTTGAAACAGTACAAATATTGTTCTGAAACAGTACAAATATTGTTCTGAAGCAGTGCAAGTCTTGTTCTGAAAAAGTACAAGTATTGTTCTGAAACAGTACAAGTATTGTTCTGAAAAAGTACAAGTCTTGTTCTGAAACAGAAAATTTTTCTCACAAATTGAGAGCTTTTACGGGAAATTTGTTCTGAAAAAGTACAAGTCTTGTTCTGAAAAAGTACAAGTATTGTTCTGAAAAAGTACAAGTATTGTTCTGAAAAAGTACAAGTCTTGTTCTGAAAAAGTACAAGTCTTGTTCTGAAAAAGTACAAGTATTGTTCTGAAACAGTACAAGTATTGTTCTGAAAAAGTACAATGGACAACATCGAGCCATTAGATGAGGCAATTTACCTTATAGAGATAAATGAAGTTGTTAAGCAGTATTTGGGCAAGGACAAAGCCAACAAGTCCCTCGGCTTCTGGTTGTCTGGAAGAGGTGCGCTGAAAATCGAAATTGAAACCGGAATTCCAATTCAAATACCAGAAAACACTCCTTTCGACGACATAAAGGACGCCAAAAGAGAAGCTCTTGTTAAGTTCTTTGCCAAGCGTCCTTGGATAAAAATACCAAACAGAGAGAGTCCAATTCCACGAATTATACAAATTCTCAGAGCACTGTTCCACTTCTCTGGTCAACCATTCTACATAACTACAGAAGGCGGCATTCAGCCAGTTCAGTAAACATCTCATTTTAACTCACTTTTTTTTCTATCTTAAGGAAATTCATGAACATTCACCTGTTGAACTTTGTATAAAAAGCAACCCGCCGAATTCCGCGGGTTGGTATATTCTTCACAAAATGCTTGTTTTGAGGTCGAGCCACTTTTGGCTCCACCGTATTCTTTCAACCAAAAACTCATTTTTGTCGAATTCAGCACAAAATTCATGAAAATTCATGAGGGTGAAAAAACAGGTGAAAAAAGAGGTGAAATCTCACCTCTTCACCTAAAATATATTTTTACTGAATTTAGCAACAAAATGAACGAGGTCAGGATGTATGTTGCTGAATTCATTCATAACACCCTTTGTAAGCTCATAAAATGTTTGTTTTGTATCTGCTACTTTTGTTCTTTGTTTTTCAACCCGAAGCATTTAATATATGTAAAAATATACTGTTTTAAAATGGTATGCCATATAGCTTCTTGAATTTGTTAAGAAGTATTTGAACGTATTTTCCATCTGTATCTCTAGCGTTTACATGAGCATAGCCCGCCTTAGTAAAACATACTTGTAATTTTCTATAGTTTACACCGGTATAAAAGTAGAAAGAGTCTTGTTCTTCGCTATAGTAGTAAAACTCAAACGTATGCTTGCCATAGTCTGTAATTTCAATTGCTTCATCTTCTAGTTCGTCGACAAATTCGAATACTATATCTCC